TGGCGGGACCCCGGAGTGGGAGTGGCCTGTGTCACTATCACCCCCCCTCCCCCCCCGTGCACTTGGGGGCCCTGTTAGAAGAAGAGTTTGGGATTGTCCACTAGTGCCGCGCTATCCCGACAGGGTCAATGGCAAAACAAGGCGGTGCCAAACTGCCAGTGGTTTAAGGCAGAAGTTCTCAGCCAAGGGCTTGGAGTGCCCCGGAGGGGAAAGTAGATTTTAGGGAGTCCCGCCAAGCAACCCCCCCTCCCCCCCCGTGCACTTGGGGGCCCTGTTAGAAGAAGAGTTTGGGATTGTCCACTAGTGCCGCGCTATCCCGACAGGGTCAATGGCAAAACAAGGCGGTGCCAAACTGCCAGTGGTTTAAGGCAGAAGTTCTCAGCCAAGGGCTTGGAGTGCCCCGGAGGGGAAAGTAGATTTTAGGGAGTCCCGCCAAGCAGGGTGTATTAGACTAATTGGTGTTCATGGCAGAAAGCCACATAGTTTCTATGCAGGGCACAGGCCCCAAGCCAGGAGTGGGCAATAAAATGGTTCACCAGGGTTAGTCGATGGTGGGCCGCTGTGGCTATATTTACCTATAGCTCCAATCAGCAATAACCCAAATGTAGGTGAATAAATGTGACAGTGCAGATACAATATTAATATCCAAGTATTTGAATACATCACTCATGAAAAGTTATACAGAGAGTTGGTTGTGAAAATCAAATATATCAGTGAATGTAGATTGTCCATCAGTAATTCAAAATATAGGGTACTTTGTCTATTAGAAAATGCAATACAATATTCTCCTGACTGTGTTTCTCATTGGCACTCCAGCATATCACTCCTGGTGTTGCCAATGTCCAGTGATGTATTCCAGGTAGATATCCCTCAACCACCTGAGGGCGTCTGACACTACGAGTTTCCAAAGCAGCTGAGTATACTGTTAATTGATATGTCCCTTCATTCTTTGGTCACCAATCTCCTGCTTGGTGTTTTACCTGCATTCTGCCATATATTTCGTGTTATAGCAGATTCAGATGATGACCTAGCATGTGTTTGTTTTAAGAACACTTTCACTGCAGATTTGACAAAACACAAAGAAGGTAGCAATGTGAGATTTCTAAAGATGGCTATAGCCAGGGCTCGACAAATCACTGAATCTACTCGCCAAAGTTGAGTAGATTTCAGCCGGTCACCCTGTTCACCGGCGGTGTACGCATACGCAATGCGGGTCTTGCACATGCGCAGTGCGGGGCTGACGAGTAGGTTTCGCCGCCGTTTGTCAAGTCCTGGCTATAGCACTTGACCCAAGATGTAAGAATCTGAAGTGTCTTCAAAACTCAGAGAGATGGAGTATGGAGCCTGCTTTCCGAAATCTTAAAAGAGCAAAACTCTAGTGCATAAACTACAGAACCCGAACCGCAAAACTTAAAAATCAGCCTTCTGCTGGTGGCATTTCATGGAGATGATGAAAATGAATGTACATTGGTCTGTGCGACTTTGGATCATTATTGAACTGAACTCATCATCAGCATGGATGCATATCCTCAAGAATGGTGGTTGAAACATGAGGGGACATATGAGTCTTTAGCACATCTGACACTTAAATATCTAGTGATGCAGGCTACAACAGTGTTCTGCGAATGCCTGTTCTCACTTCTGGTGACATTGTAAACCAGAAGACAACAACGTTCTTTCCTGAAAATATAAAACAATTGTTTGTCTGAGCAATTGTCTGAACAAGAAATAGGACTGAGTGAGCTTTTGTAGGTTCTAAAGTTTTACATTGCTTGATTTTTGAATGCAGTTATTTTTATACATAATTCTACATTTGTAGGTTCAAATTTTATTATAGTGATTGCACTGCAGTTCTTGTATTAAGTGAGTTAAAAAATACTATTTTATTTTTACAGTGCAAATATCTATAATAAAAAACTAGAGTGAGAACTGTACACTTTGTATTGTGTAACTGCAATCAATATATTTGAAAATGTGAAAAACGTACAAAATATGTATATAATTCTAATATTGTTTAAGTGCATGATTATTTGTGACTAAAAAAATTAATTGTGGTTAATCACTTGACAGCCCTAGATCCAGGTATTATTTTTATTTCAGTTATTCCAAGAACAAATCTGGCCAAATAAATGATCTATTTTAGAAAATAAGGACAACATTGTTAACTTAGTAATGGAGAGTGGTAAATAATTTACAAAGTGTTAAAAATTCAGAGAAGAAAGTCTTCGCTTAAGGAGTTGGAGCAATTCAGCCTCTTAATGTTTTGCCTTTTGGAATGATGTTAAAATGAAAACTTGTTTTGAACTACTAAAACACAAACATATTACTAATTGTCATGTTGTCTGTACAGAAATGTGGCTTTTCAGAACTATATTCATGGCAAAGGCAAAGGAAAACAAAGAATGAATTTTGCCTTCATGATGGTCCACCGTATGCCAATGGAGACCCGCATGTTGGTCATGCATTAAATAAGGTCTGTATAAAAGTAGTACGTACAAGGTATTACATGCCTTCTGTAAGGTGCTGGGCACTCTCAATTCACATTGAAGTTGGATGTTCACTACTTTATAGGATAAGGCCCTTCATTCCTATTTAATGGGTAAGCTTTTACACTAACAATCCAATTTCTACTTCAGCCCTGCAATCTGCTAGATGCAGAGCTTCAGTATTATGTGCATAGTGAAGTACAGGCAGTCCCCGGGTTACATACAAGATAGGGACTGTAGGTTTGTTCTTAAGTTGAATCTGTATGTAAGTTGGAACTGGCGTCCAGACTGATCAGTTTCAACGGCGGCTGAATCTGGATGCCAGTTCTGACTTACATACAGATTCAACTTAAGAACCCCAGGCATCCCCAAGTCAGCTGCTGCTGAAACTGATCAGCGGCTGATTCCAGGAAGCCTGGGGCAGGGGCTTTGACTTGGCTCCTCGGCCAAGAGCGGCTGTCTTGGCTCCTTGGCTCTACTGGAGCAACCCGGCGGCACCCCAGCTGCTCTGCCCCAGGCGTCCTGATTCTGCTGCTGCTGAAACTGACCAGCAGCGGCTGAATCAGGACCAGAGCAGCTGGGGGGGGGGGGGGGGGACTAAGTGGCCCCGCGCCCCGG